CTGACATACCATGTCTTTTTCTTCCTTGTCTTTATCTGCCTCCTCCATCAGAAAATAAGCTGTGTAACTGCAGAGATTTTTGTGGTAACTCCATTGTCGGATGAGTTTGAAAGTGTCACATGAAAAATACTGGGGTGGGGACTAAGGGATGGTGAATGAGGTGGATCCAGTTCTAGAGGCTGTTCTGTGAGCACGGGCGCATTGGCCTGCCAGTGGCAAATAGCCAGCCAGTTTTCTGCCTTTTGTTTGTTTGTTTGTTTAACAGTCTCCTGGGAGATTAAAATGAGTGACCTTGAGGAGAAGGATGTTGATGAATTCAGCTCCAGTGGTTTTCAATGCCCAACATGCTTTGCAGTGCAGAGAAGAAGATGTGACACAGCACTCAAATGGTGTGCAGCAGATAAAATAAAGTGTGTTGAATTCTCTGGCATCGTAAACACAGGTACTTTTCTAGGATGCAATATTCTGTAGACACAGAACAGTGACACTCTCACAAGTTTATGGGGCATGAGTTCCAAGGATAGTGTTGAGGAGAAACCAGCGATAGTATGGCACATCGTGAAGAGCTGTGATTTAAGGCCCATCGGGGTTGGATTGTTTCCACAGCTCTTCTTTACCTTCTCACTTCTTCCTGCTGACTCTGGGGAGCTCAGTCTTCTTGAAGTTCATCATTAGTGATGTAAAGAGTGGACATAACTGAAACACAGATGCACCAACTCCCTGAGTATGAGTAGTTCCTAACAAAGTCATCATTAATTGCATACAGGATGCTCCTAACAAAGCCATTAGGACTTCTTAGTACCATTAGCATAAAGTGTCTATAAAAGCATATGCTATATATGTATGCATGTATAGAGGGAAAAGCACATACTTACTTATTTTTGGAATCTCTATTTTGTTCCATAAGTCAAAAAAAAGAAAAGGATATGCTAGATCCTTGAGTGATAATGTAGGTTGGGAAAAAGTTCACTTAAATTAGGTTTAGAAAATATACAGGCCGGCCCGGTGGCGCACTGGATAGTGCGCCACTTGGGAAGTGCGGCGGCACTCCCGCC